TACTTTATCATTAACGGCCATTCATATGTGTGACAAAAATTATTTACCTAGGAGAAAGTTGAAATGTCAGCGGAACATTTGCAGTGAACCTTGAATATTGTCCATAACGAAATTCAGCACGGCTGTGTGATTTTTTTTTTTTTTTTTTTTTTTTTTTTTGACAGTAAAGCAAAATTTTGTGGAAAGATGTTCAGGATATTCCATCATTGTTGATGAAATGTTAGACATCAGCTGTTTTTTACAAGTTGCAATATGCCTCAGATTCACCACTGAAATAGAAACCATGGGGTCTTTCATCAGTCTTTATGCTCCAAATTCTGCTGAAGGAAGTTTTCCCTTTCGAGAAGGTGGCACTTAAAACTTGACAAAATTTTTGGAGAATAGGAGCATCATTATTATCAAAGCTGTTTCGACTTAAAGGCATACAACAAATCCGTATCTTCAACACCTTAGTAATTATCTCTTATCAGTTCCTCTTCAAACTTCCCTGTTTGAATTCACGAAATTCTGCAAGTTTTTCAAGCTCTTCGGTGATGGAATTTTATTGATAGTACTTTTATTCTCATTATTTAATATGTATATTTTGGTTGTTTGTCCAATGTCTATGGATGTTATTCTTAAATTTGGTATTGATGACAAATAATATTTACTGTTTGTTTCCATTGATGTCTAACTTGTGCAGTCTAACTTCAATATTACTTATAAAGAATTAGGTTATCTCCTCTTGATCCTGCTGCTATTGGAAGATTCTATTATCTACTTTTAGTAGTATAACCCAGTCTTCGCAGCAAATAAGATTGAGCACATAATTACGAACACTAAGTCAGTGCGGCTCAAGATATCGAAGGAAACAGACATGTTTAGCTGCTTCCGGGGAACGACACCCAAATCAGTTTTGAACGAGAAGTCCCACCTCTAAAGAGAAGATATGTGTTTGAACCTTCTAGATGGCTCCCGAAACAAACAATCTTTGTTTGAATGACAGATAAATGTAACAAACTGTTTTTAACTGAAATGTATTGGAACTGATCCAATTGTTTGACTATACCTGCTAAAAGTACGTTTCTTAGTAACTCTCTCATTTCACGTTTTGATGTGTTATTTTTTGTATATAAAATATCTTTAAACTATTCAATTGTCTCTTCCTTGTCATCTGGCTGACTTGATGTGGAAGTCCTTAAAAATCCTATATAATATCAAGTCTTTTGTAGGAATCCTTCTACTCGGTTTTTCGTTGAATGTTAAAATTTGGAGTGTCTGGAATCAATACATTAACAATATATCGTTACAGGGTCGCTCGTAATTTGGCCGTCTAGAATAATCAAAAGCTTTTTATTGAAGGAATAAAATTCAGTAGAAAAGACGACGTAGTTTCAACAAATAAACATTAATTTAATATAACGATAGGAATACAAACAGTTGATAATAGATTGGAAAGTAATGTCTTTTGTTTGGGTTGATAAAGTTCTGAAATAAAATATAAACTGTCTTTGTGTACGTGTGTGAGAAACAATAAAATGTTGTGATATGTGTGTTTGTATGAAAAAGTCAACATGTGTGTGCATGATTCATAGTAAAAACGGATACGAGAGATACGAATTGTTTCTTACTGTTGGCGGTGTTGCCGTGGTCTGGAGTTTATCAACGCTGTCGTTTTTAACATGAGGTCATGAAGGTCATCAGCGAGAGGTGTGTGTAGTTTGGTGGCAGCCACGTGTATATTGTTTTGGGAACAGATTACGTATGTTTTTATACACTTTTTCCGAACAATATTGGCTCCAGAATGAAATTATTTATTTATTCCTAATTGGCCCTAAGAAGTCACGTGGTATGTCTTCTACTACGTCCGTACGATATTTGGTCGGTATCTACCTAAAAATAATGATGACTAATACAACAAACATTCTGATTTGTAATCTATGATTTTATTGGTGTGTTTTAAGTTGTAAGTGTTTTCTTGAGTGTAATTGGTTTATAAATATTGTAGTTGATATTTTAGTGAACACGATACTTTCTTTGATTTTGGATTTCTCGGGGACCATCAATGTTGTAACTATCAACATCCCGAATCAAGAATTCCTGCTTTTCTTTTTTTTTCTTTTTCATGATTCCTATAACATTAAATGTCCTTAAAATCTTAACATGTATTTTAAGGTATTGAGAAAGTTTAAAATAAGAAGTTACTAGGAATAAACCCTATTTCCAACACCATTACATTCAACATATATATCATATTAAAACACACCCAAACTTTATTTACTACACAATAATAGACAATATTACAAACATGCCAAAAAGATTACACAATACAACATAAACAGTTTAAATTAAAGTGTCTATTGGTTAGAAATTAACATCACCGTGGGAAATATTTAACCAATCAGAGAAAAATAAGACTCTATTTTTCTTGAGCCTACTTTCAAGAAAATATCTTATAAAAACCCACAGATTTTGATTTTCAGTGAGCAGAGTTGTGGCTGCTTCCAAGCTGAGCACAAGAGAAGGCGTGGTTACATAGCTTTTTCCTTCCCTCACAGCACATGCTGAAAGAAACATGTGACAGTGACTTCAAATGAATCATCTCCAACAACAAAAGCATAGACGGTTAGTGAATGATCGCTGACGATCATGTGTCAGTGACTTCAAATGAATCATCTACAACAGCAACAACGATGGTCAGTGAATTATTGCTGATGATAAAAGTCTTTTCTAAACTACATATTTTTCTGTGTACCAACTAGCACAACTAAAGTCTATTTTAATATCTTTTGATACTTTTGAATTCATGTACATGTGTTTGAAAGTACAAATGATTTATTTAAGAGGAATATCCATGGTTTCTTTATTTTTATTCTATTATTGTTTGGAATTCAGACATTTGGATTTTTAATAAAAAAAAAACTGGACAGCTGAATTTCCTCCTTTTAGCGGCTGACAACTGGAGAAATTATTAGCTTCTTGGCCAAGAAATATGAGGGAAGTCCATAAAAGTTTTGCAACCAAACGAAAGTGTCTTCTACACGCCTTTATATTTAATGTTATAGGAACCTCTCAAAATGACAGAAACTGTACCTATCTGCAATGCCTTAGGAACTATTCAAAAGTTTCTCAATTTTCTAGGGGGCCAGTTCCAAGCAAGATGCGCTCTTTGAAAGCATCATTTTTGATAGAAGAAATATCTTGTGGACACTTGCACCCCAAAGTATAACAAAGAGGTTGTATAGATAGAGAAATTAAGGCTGTGATAGAGTAATTGCCACATATTGTAAAGACATTGCTGGACTTGATAATTGATCAAAATCACATCGATTGATTTATTTTTATGGCTTATCAACATAAATAGCATAAAATATCATATACAGAAATGATCTTGAACAAAAAGTCAGCATCTTCTCTCAACTGTTCCATGGAATAGAACTGAAGATAAACCTTTCCAAAGCAGAAACTAGATTTGGAATGAAAGCAGTGATGGCACATGCCCTGAATGCGTCATAAAAATTCAGGATGTACAATTAGCATTAGATAAAAGTTCACAAAGTCCAAATCTTCATGTACAGACATGCAGCCTCCTCACAAAATCTCCTTTTGTAGGAAACATCAATTGTTTTATAGCAGTTCAGTGGACCCTTATCAGGTTTTTGATTTGTGGAGCATAGAAATGGATTAGCATATTTTTCTATGCAATCCATTCCCCTCAGTAAAACTTGAACCACAATTGGTTATCAGGAGCTAATTTACATGAACTCAATGACCTCATTCAGTGGTGAAGCATTTTTCTTTCTTTCTTCTTTTCTTTTCTCTGTTTTTTTTTTTCCCTGCAAAAACACCATGTGACATGATATTTTGATATTTGGGGTATGTCACCCTTTTCTTCTGTACAATTAGTAAATACTAAACACTTCAATTACCTCTATGTATGGATCAGTTATAACAAATTTAGTATAAGACATAAGTAAAATAAAATATGGGTGTGCTAGGGGTAGTCACAATACTCCAAGCTACATTCAGACTAATATCCTTATCTTTATTCTTATTATCACAACATTTTGGCTGTTATTTACATTATCCAGACTATTGTTCTCATCTTTGTCACCATATTTATTACAACATTTCGGCCGTTGTACACTCCGGCCTTCTTCAGGTGGTTGGAATGTCGAACTGAACCCTTTATTTCGCTCACTGGGGTAGACTGTTCTAGTTCCACGTGCCATGTTTAATGGATGTCAGTTATCAGTTATCTCCTGTTAATTTTCCCTCTGAAAGTTCTCCACTGCCTTAACCAGGTATTGAACTCGCACTGTCACTGGATCTAACCAACGCCTCAAGGACACATGGCACAGTGGATAAAGGCGTTGGTTAGATCCAGTGACAGGACCCAATGAGTGTGAGTTCAATACCCGGTTATGGGTATATACCTCATCTCAGAAATATAGACAGATACTGAAAGGCCAAAACGTTGTAATAAATATGGCAACAAAGATGAGGACAAGAGTCCGAATAATGTAAATAATGTACATAATATCTCATCTCAGAAATATAGACAGATTTTGGCTGTTGTGACCTGTTTTTTCAGGTGTTTGTCAATGAAACATAAATAATGTTTGCAGATAACATTCAAGCAATTTCAAACTGAACCCTTTATTTAATCAACAAGGGTAGATTGTTCTCATTCTACTGACCATATCTAGGGGTATCTTGTTTTTATTTTAGTACTAATCAGTTATTGGTTATCCATGGTTAATTGATTGATTGTTTTTTCCATGGTTTATCAGCCCTTTAGAGGTTATTTAAAGCGAGAAAATATTTTTACATTGCAAGAATTTGGGTGGAAAATAATAATACAAGTCTTACTAATTAACCCATAGTTGGGGGAGAAGAAGTGGATTCATACCTTTCCCAATGGTATTAGCATGTAAGTGAATATAATAAACCCAATAGCAATTTGAATTCAGGCTCTCCAATCCTGAGCCCTTATCTATTATACCACCCACACATCCAAGCTTACAACACCTGGTATTCCCAAGTGGTCACCTATCTAGGTACTTACCAGGCTCAATGTTGCTTAACTTCAGTGATTGTATGGGAATCTGTGTTTCAATGCAATGTGACTGTAATCCTATGGATTAACTCACAATTACTATATCAACACATTTACAAACTAATGCTTTCATCTATTAGATGAGTGTCCATTAGATTACACTCATAGATTAAATAATGGGTTCAGTTTGAAATCCCCTGACTATTTTGACAGAGACCTAGAAAAAAAGACTGGAGGGTACAATAGCCCAAGCATTATGATAATAACAAGAAAGATGAGGATAATAGTCCAAATGTAAATTAGTCCTGAGCATATTGAGAAAATTGTGGAAAAATTATTGTTCATAAACAATTATTCAAAAACAATTATTTGAAAAACATTTATTTGAATTGTAAATTGTTTGAAGAAAAATTAATCAAAAAGACAATTATACTAAATGATAATTATTCGAAATACCTATGTTTGAAATACATACGTGATCTTGCTTTGAGACAGTCAATGCTAATTTACCTAGAACTAATAATGCCCTTAAGGATGGTATAGGGATTTTTTGTAGCAAGTGTCATCCCATCATCATATTGAAATTCTTAGACGCTGTTAAAAGACAACAGGACTTACAAGAAATTTACATTACAAAAGTCAGAGCGGGTTACCAAAATATCAAGAACACCAAGAAATACCACAGTGTAAATCAAAAATTTAAAAACTTTGAGGCATCATTTAAAGAGTACTCTTCAATAGTTGACTATCTGCATGCAGTATCGTGTAACTTAAGATTATAAGAAATTTTCCTACAAAATTGTTTTATTAATGATATTTGTATTTCAAATAATTATCATTTGTGTATTTCCCCTTTTAATGTTTACATTTTTATTGCAATAAAGAATTTTGCATTTCAAATAATTATTTAATATAATTGTCCTTTTGATTAATTTTCATTCAAACAATTTACAATTCGAATAAATTTTTTTTCAAATAAATGTTTTCAAACAATGTTCACGTAATTGTCCTGAGTATGATGAGAAACTACATCTGGCAGCAAGGCCTCTGATCAGAAGATTAGAAGTTTTGAGGAGCATGGAACCACTTCTTAATTGCTGTTGTCCCCAGGCAACCCTGACATGGGGTGGTAGCACCTGTTAGGGTTCCAGCTATGGGGACATAGTTAACCCCTCCCAAACAAAAACAAAACACTATGAAACTATAAAAATGCATTTTTATAGTAAAAATACCAGCAATACCTTAGTAACAATACATATTTATTGTATAATTACCAACAATATAGTAGAATTATCAACAATATATATTTCTAATAGAATTACTAAGACTACTTATTTATAGGAGAATTAACATCAACAGTACATTTTATCTGTAGCTAGAGCCATAAAATTGTGTTCAAAATTTTTAAGTTTTGGCATGAAATAACCCATAGAGGTTGATCTGCCACTAAACAAAATCAACCAACTAACAGAATGTAAATAATGTAGATACTGATAAGTCATCTTCCCAGATATTCAGACAGAAAGGGCGCCATTATTAGCATCATTGGTTACTGCATCTCATCTCGTCTCTGCTGGACTGTGAATATTTGATACTGGATTACATGCTCTGATAGGTTACATTTCCATCACTTAAAGGATGGTAAAGTTTGTGCATGAAAATGACAACATGAAGCTATGAATACAATGGTAGGCATACTTGTGGTGGCTATGTAATGGTGTCATTTATTCTGATGGTATTTTCAAATACTTCAAATAATCTGTTTTCACATATCTACCCACTTTTACTGATAAGCTTAGCCCTAAGGAGACAGCTGAATATTAATGGTTTCAACTTGCTTTCTTTCTGTGTATGTAACTCTTTTTCTTCTTTCACACATATATGCACAGATCTTTTATGTACACTCAGACATCTGAAACAAACATTCACACAAAAATTTATTCTTATCAACCAAATGTAAATTGCACCAACTTTGCTGATTATTGCATCTCAGTTATTTTATTTGAACTATATATATATATATATATATATATATATATATATATATATATATATATAAACCTTTTATATTATATTCTTACTCTGTCCTGGACATTGAGTTCTACCTGGATTCTATCTGCTTGGAAATATATATATATATATATATATATATATATATATATATATATATATATTGACCACTAATATTATCATACATATATATACATATATATTGACCACTAATATTATCATACATACATATATATATATATATATATATATATATATATATATATATATAATGAGGTACAATAGAGTAATAGACTGTGGTTTGGATTGAGGAATCAGGGAGCCGAGTTTGAATTCCAGTCGATTCCATTACATCCACTTATGTGCTAATACAATTGGGAAAGATATGAATTCAATTCTTTCCCCACCAGCTATGAGTAAATAACAGGACAAACTGAGTTCTGTAGCTTGGTTGGCAACCAGTCTAGGAGAAGGAAAACTCTGTTTTCAAAACTATATGAAGTCCTGTTGATACACATATTATGCAGCTAAGAATAGGATCATTTGCATTGACTCGATGTTTTAAAATACAGTCAACTATAATAAATATATATATATAGGACAGGCTCAAGGTGCTAGCAATGCAGGCTGTTGCCCAGGATGCCATCAAAGCTGTCATATCATGTATTTGAGATCTTCCAAAAACTAAAGCTTATAAAAATATACTTGTGGTTGTCCATATTTGTAAGACTGTCGAAGTTCAGCTTGCCCAGAGTGCCAGCAACCTTAGTGGCATAACTATATATACACCTATATTTTCTTTACAAGATCATTTTCTATTGAAAAAATAGTCAAAGAATTTCTTCTGTCTTGAGTCATGGATGACGGCAAGTACATTTTTACAAGCTTTAGTTTTGGAAGATCCCAAACACATGATGGCTTTGATGGCATCCTGGGTGGCTGCCTGTGTTGCCAGTACCTTGATCATTACCTGTATACATATTACAGTTGATGTATATATATATATATATATATATATATTGATGCATGTTTCATTAAATAATATAGACAAGTTTTGTCTATTTATTTTAAGTAAGTTCCTTTCATATTGTCTGATAAGCTTAATAACATTATCATTAAAAGACAAAAGGAAATCACCATATTAATACATGTTTAAATCCAATCTAAGCTTTCAGCTTACATAAGCCATTATCAAAGATGACAATTACTTTTCAATATATCAACCAATACACAGATGAAACAATAATCATAGTCTGTTTTTGTTGCATGAAAAATTTCAAAGCAATGTCTAACTCGTTTATACAAGACGCAAAAGCGAAAATCACTTCGCAGCTCATGACATCACACATGACCACATGAGAGTGAAAACAAGAAGTATTAAGTATGGGAAGCTGTTGGTATAAACCAATGGCTTCTGTTATAAATTATAGGCATTTAAGAATATTTGTGGAGATTTCATAGTTTATTTTGTTCAGTTTAGATTTCAACTGTTTTATGTATATAGCTTCAAGAATTTTTAGTTTTTGTTTATTGTTTTCATGTTTAAGTATAGTTGTGTTTTCAAAAAGGATTTTCCGGAATTGTGTATGTGGCCAGGCATGTTGTTTTAAATGCCTAAAAATGTTAGTGTTATCATTCAAATGTAGAGTCAAGCATTGTGAAAGCAAGTTTATGGTGTGACCAACATAAATTTTATTTAATCCATTATATATATATATATATATATATATATATATATATATATATATATATATATATATATATAAGCCAGTTTCACAAGCTATTGCTGTTGAATGTATTTATTACTGGATCCTTCAAAAATGTGATCTTATATAAAATTTACAAGGTGAACAAAATTGAAATAAAGTTCAAATGGCAAACTTTTTTAAAGAATTAATCAACTATAATTCCTTGACAAGATTATTTATTTAAAAAACAAAGAACATTAAAAATGTTTATTTCTAAACACATGTATTTTGAATTTATATTAGATCTCTGTACCACTTCACCCTCACTGTAAAAAAGAAATAATGGCTTATTTTGTTATATGATATGTGAGTCTTTATATTTTTTTAATTATTATATCGATATATCATTATACTGAAAGGGACAGTTTATTGTCTAATGACACAAGTAAACCGACCACCAATTTTATGTCCAACAGAATCATATATTCATCCTAGTTTACATGTACTGTTAAAAATAGAATCATATATTCATCCTAGTTTACCTGTACTGTTAAAAATAGAATCATATATTCATTCTAGTTTACCTGTACTGTTAAAAATAGAATCATATTTTCATTCTAGTTTACCTGGACTGTTAAAAACAGAATCATATATTCATCCTAGTTTACCTGTACTGTTAAAAACAGAATCATGTATTCATCCTAGTTTACCTGTATTGTTAAAAACAGAATCATATATTCATCCTAGTTTATCTGTGGATTTAAAAAATAGAATCATATATTCATCCTAGTTTACCTTGTTAAAAAACAGAAATATATTCATCCTAGTTTACCTGTATTGTTAAAAACAGAATCATATATTCATCCTAGTTTATCTGTAAGGTTAAAAATAGAATCATATATTCATTCTAGTTTACCTGTACTGTTAAAAATAGAATCATATATTCATCCTAGTTTATCTGTAAGGTTAAAAATAGAATCATATATTCATCCTAGTTTACCTGTATTGTTAAAAACAGAATCATATATTCATCCTAGTTTACCTGTACTGTTAAAAACAGAATCATATATTCATCCTAGTTTACCTGTATTGTTAAAAACAGAATCATATATTCATCCTAGTTTATCTGTAAGGTTAAAAATAGAATCATATATTCATTCTAGTTTACCTGTACTGTTAAAAACAGAATCATGTATTCATCCTAGTTTACCTGTATTGTTAAAACAGAATCATATATTCATCCTAGTTTATCTGTTTAAAAATAGAATCATATATTCATTCTAGTTTACCTGTACTGTTAAAAACAGAATCATATATTCATCCTAGTTTACCTGTATTTGTTAAAAACAGAATCATATATTCATC